AAAAAAAAAAAAAAAAAAAAAAAAAAAAAAAAAAAAAAAAAAAAAAAACCTTAAGCTTAATGAAAAATATTGGATTTCGTTTTACTTTAATTTAGATATTTCGATGAAGACCTAAACCTAACAGAATACATGTAATGAGTAAATGTCGCCAATCATTTAAGGCCACATATATTAGGTAAGACCACTCTTAAAGTCTATTTTCATTGTGCTCCGATTCCTATAGGCCTGTTAGAGTCTACCTTTGCCAAGACAGAAATTGCCAATTCATGGTTTAAGAGCTTTCTTTAACTGGATTCGGACTTCAACTTCACGGTGTTCAATGGTTCAAGGAATTCAAAGGTGTTTGGACCGTCTTCACATGGTCTTCACTACTATACGAAAGATCGCTGTATTTCGAAAGTGGTGGTTGCCTCTCTCTCGGGATAACAAGATTTTCGGTCTTTAGCAAAGCGGAACTTGACAGTAACGTTCACACAAACAAATGTCGGAAGTTGAAGAATTTTTAACACAAATACAAGTTGTCTTGAACACTCAGATGCCGAATTAATGGATCAAAGCCCAAATAGTGACTTTGCCAATGAATTTGAACTGATCGTGGAAATCCAAAAATAAATAGAGAGAAGAAATAATGGTTCATAGGCTCTTATATTTTAGGATCTACAACATTTTTCTTTGCTATTAACAGTTTTTTATTACAAATATCTACACATAAGTAGTCCCAATATGTTTGTCAACGTGGTTTTCCTGATTATTTAATTCCATTTCATTTAAGTTTCCGAATAAAACAAAAACCAAACACTGGTACGCCTCAAACGCTGCTTCGCCACGTTGCTTTCCACCACAAAACAACTGTAACTCACCATAAATGCGGCGAGTGATTAGCAATCACACAATTAACCCAGCAATCGCCAACCCTGCACACGGGCAATATTGCCAAGCGTGATAACGACTTAGGGCGATTCAAAATACATAGTAAGCGTTGACCAACAGCGAGCGTTGATGAGCGCACGGAAGCATTAGGCAATGACAAGACGTCGCTCCATCACAATGGGCACTCAGCGTTGGGAACTTTAGTGGCCTCCAAATGATAGTGACTTTGTTGGACGCTTCAGTTCACTACGAAACGTTGATGTGCGCGGTTGTTAACGCGGTTGACAAGCAAGAACAAAAGCAAGGCGGTGAAATTATAATAATAACAAAACGTAAAGACGTTCAAATTGCGCGAGAAACCGGTTGAATAAACGCCTATCATTTGCACTAAAATACCGGCTGCTCATTTGCAAGTGTGTTATTAGTGAAGACGAGTGATAAAAGTGGAAAAAAATTAAGAAATAAAAACCAACAAAATAAAGGTAGTCAGAGTGGAGCACATATTCGTAAATCTTAGTTTTCATTTCGGGAGTTTTTAATTGCTCAATGGTGACATTTTTTGAATACAACTTTCAATGATGCAAGGAGAAAATA